TAAGGTTGTCCAAAATGAGGGAATTTTAACTCGCCACAATTTCATAACGCCATGAGTTGCTATAGACAATACAATAAGCTAATTAACACTAATGGCAATATTTGTAATAGCTAGACTGCTTTTTCTCGGAGCTTCTTCTTTATCCAAGCATGATTATCATCCATAGTTCTAAAAAAAGCCTTACGCCGGGACTTGTCAGCAAGTTCCCAAGCCAAGAACGCATCTAGATTGCCATGGATGTACTCCAGTGCAGATTGTTGGAATTCTTGGGACTTCTTGAAGTCATCAATCCCAGCTTGTCGAGCAAAAAAGATTTGGGCCTCCAAAGCTTTGATCTTCTCAGCCATCTCTTTAGTAGATTCATTCACAACCTCCTCAACCTCGGGTTTGGGCTCCATAAGATCATCATCATCCGCTGGTATGAGTACTAATTCTGGTGGTGCAGCTTCAACTTCTTTAAGCCCATATAGACTCTCAATTTTCTCCTTACTGGCATAGTAATTACAGGAGCGAGGAACACTGGTTATTTTCTTCGCATGAGCCAAGAGTTCATGCGTTTCTTCGGGCGTGGGGAAATATATAACCCGGGTGGCCCAGACATTAACGAAACATATTTGAGACGCTGGGAGCCGGACTTTGAAAAACCTTTCTTTCCCACCGCGGTGGGAGGAGGGAAGGTCCGTCACAAATTTAAGACCGCAACGAGAGGATATGGTGACAAAGCTCTGGTTTTCAGCCAGTGCCCCAGATTCCACATTGAACAAGTAATGGAAGAGGGACTGAGACGGAGGAATATCGCATTCCTTACAAACGTTCAAAAAAACGACTAGGAATTTGTACCCATTGGGCGCTAATTGAGCCGGTATGATTTTATGGGTATTCAGAAATTCTGAGATGAACGGGTGTAGAGGAAAGCGAAGGCCACACTTGATCGAGTTGTAGTGCACGCCTACTTCTAAAGAATTGGAATCCGCAGAGCAATGATCGACGATCGAGATTTCAGGATTCGCATTGATAATCTCAACGTTTGGCCCTAAAAGTTCTTTGGCTTTGGAAAGGTATAAAAGCGAAATTTTGGGCTTTATAGTTTGAGCCACATTTGGGTCTAGGCTATAGTAGCTAGGTTTTGGCCAAGGGAAGTCCGGGCCACGGTTACGTTTGGCGGCTTCGGATTGGGCATGGGAAACAGATGATGATGGGGAACCACCTTGTAGTTGTAGTGTTGGGGAGGAAGTTTGGTTACGAAGATTTGCATTTGAGGGTGGACGACAAGGATACATTATGATGACCCTCACTCAGCTCGCTTTGAGTTAATTTAGCAAATTAAAGATCGAATTCAAGGGTATATATAAGACCTTTTAGATAAGATGAGTCATCAATAGCTCAACCATTTTTATATAAATGTGTGTGGGGCATGGGAGATCAAAAAATTGCCTGAATTATATATATTCGATCGTCATCCATTACGTTCTTAATTAACATCTATCCGTTGGAGATTAACACCGTTTTTATATAAATGTGTGTGGGGCATAGGAGATCAAAAAATTGCCTGAATTATATATATTCGATCGTCATCCATTACGTTCTTAATTAACATCTATCCATTGGAGATTAACACCGTTTTTATATAAATGTGTGTGGGGCATGGGAGATCAAAAAATTTCCTGAATTATATATATTCGATCGTCATACATTACGTTCTTAATTAACATCTACCCGTTGGAGATCAACGGTATGATTTTCTTGAAATACACATGAATTTACCATTACTTAATACGGAGTATATAGCCGTTAAACAAACGATATTATTTTTCATTATTACTTATATTGCATGAATTCACCACTATTTAATATTTAACTGTGTAAGCAACAACGATATAATTTTTCAGATAAGAATAGCCACCGAAACAACGGTCAAATTCCACAAGATTACGGATACTAACAACATAGAAAATACCTTTCTATGTAAACCTTGGATCTAAATATATCTTTCTCCAATCACGCTTACTTTCATATTCCCCCTGTATAGGAATTGATCTCTATAGTTTATTAGAAAGGGGCAAGCAAGCTAGGATTTTAATTTATAGTTAAAATTCGATGTAAATGCACGCAAACACCTCTTAATTAACATTTCCTTATGTGCATTATGTGATAATATAATCCATCATGTATCTGTAACTAAATAGGAAAAACATAAATTGTAAAATTAAGCAATGGATTGATAAGTTTAATGTGAAGAAATTAAATGAATAATTTGCCTAAACAGGAAACTCTATTCATAGATAAATCTTCATATGTTAATGTATTAAAGATATTGAATTACTAGTGAATTAGCTGGTTTTAAAGTAACACAAATTAATATTTAAATTTGAGAGTAAAATTCTTTGATCATATCTATCATTATTTTTAATTTGTCTCTTTTCAACATATGAATTTAGCGAGTAAAATAATTAAATAGCATAATTGTGTACATTGAGCTTGAAAAGTATAATCTCTCCATCTACCATCAATATAATGCTCAAGAGAACGACAATCTCACCCCTCAAATATGCTCAATTATATATATGTGTGTGTGAACACTTTCTCCTGTAAAAAGTGGATATATCAACATCCTCCATTTTGTAAAATCAAAGGCTATGATTTTATCTTTTACTAAACTTTTAAGTTTGCAATAATTATATAATGAACTTTGCTGTTAAAATTTTTCAATAATTATTAAATTGACTGTGTTCTTTATACTGAAACTCTCAACCATAATGAACCCTAATTGACAGCTTAGATCCGTCCTTAATTTTTATAAGAGAAACTATTTCTTATTTGATTAAACACATTTATTAAATAGCATAAGATCGAATTCAAGGGTATATATAAGACCCTAAATCAGATGAGTCATCAATAGCTCAACCGTTTTTGTATAAATGTGTGTGGGGCAAGGGAGATCATAAAATTGCCTGAATTATATATATTCGTTATTACATTCTTAATTAACATCTAACTATTGGAGATCAATCAACGATATAATATTCTTGAAATAAGCATGAATTTAACATTATATTACTTAATATATATTAAGCCGTTGAAGCAACGGTATTATTTTCCATCATTACTTAATATTGCATGAATTCACCCGTACTTCAAATTTAACCATTGAAGCAACGGTCAAATTCCACAAGATTACGGATACTAACTATATAAAAAATATCTGTTTTCAAAAAAAAAAAAAAAACTATATAGAAAATACCTCCTATATAACCCTTGGATCTGAATCTCGATCTTTCTCCAATAATTACTCTTATTTTCATGTTTCTCTCAATTCTCTGTATAGGAACTCTCTATAGTTTATTAGAAAAGAGGCAAACTTGGATTTTAATTTATAGTTAAAAATAGATGTAAATGCATGCAAACACCTCTTAGTTAACATTCCTTATGTGCATGGTGTGATAATCCAAACTCTATTTCATCATATCTATAAATACAACCGCATGGTTGACCTTAAAAAAAAAGGAAAACATAAATTGAAAAATTAAGCAATGGATTGATAAGTTTAATGTGAAGAAATGAATAGTTTGCCTAAATAGGAAAACCCTATTCGTAGATAAGTTTTCATATGTTAATATATACTGATTGAGTTACATCTCCCATGTGAGAGGTCATGAAATCTAGCCTCAGTGGAACTGTTGTTGACTCTTTGTACTTCATTAGGTTGAGAAATTATGTTTGAACAGATATTATAATGTAATAGGGTCAGTAGCATTAAAAAAAAGTGATTGAGTATAATTACTAGTGAATTAGTTGGCTCTAATGTAACGTAAATTAATATTCAAGTTTATGAGTAAATTTTTTTGTGCATATCTATCATCATTTTTAATTTGTCTCTATTCGGTATATGAATTTGGCGAGTACAATTAATTAAATAGCATAATTGTGTACATTGAGTTGGAGAAGTATAAGCTCTACATCTACCACCAATGCTCAAGAGAATGCATTGTGTTTTTTTTTTTTTTTTACTAAAACTCTCAACCGTAATGAACTATAATGGCCGACTGAGATCAGTCATTACTTTTTAAAGGAAAAACTTCTTATTTGATCTTGTTTATATATATGCACTGTCAAGCATTTCTAAATAAACACATTGATTAAATAGCATAGGAGTTAATGCAAAAATGTGATAAATGTCGCTAGTAGCATATTCCAATAAGGAAGAAACAAAGACTGAAAAATAATAATTAACCAACAAAATAAAAATAAATAGAAAAATTAACTGACCATATACAATATAATAATTAATTTTATAATAAATAAATAAATAAATAACATAAAAGAACAAGTTATGGAATTTTTTTGTATGATAAAGTATACATTTTCTATATTTTTTACGTAAGAAAAGACAAGCAAAATAAACTACAAGTGACATGGTCAAGCTATTTGAATACACCTAGTTGTCAAAATTTGTCAAATATCATCTATAGGGGTGTAAGGCATAATTAAGCCCCAATATCCACATGTTTATTTTGATTGGGTAGATTCCATAGTATTATTAAGTAAAAAAGTGTTTATTTTACTTCATAATGCATAGAATTTATATTCATAATACACATACACATAAACATAATATAATGAACATGAATTCTGTTTTGATTAGGTAGATTCCATAGTATTTTTTAAGTAAAAAAGTGTTTGTTTTGCTTCACTCAAAGTACACTCAGAACGCGCCTTCAAATGGTAGACACGGCTCTCTCCTAAATAAATAAATAACTATTTATTTAGTTTTTGATATCTCAACTATATTATTGAAAAATTTAATTTTAATATTTAAAATTACTTTATTTTACACATTTCGTTCTACACTTTTAGTGACAAGTGTGCTAATTCGAATTTGATTTATTTCAATGGACAAATTTGAAGATATAGCTATAAATAGCATGAATGCAAAGGAGAAGAGATAGAGATCGAAGCTAAGATATATTCTTATAAGCAAGTTAAAGCATTCAAAGAGCTCAATCCCAAGAATTCAAAAGCAGTTATGTTATGGTTTTGTACTCCAACTCTGTCACGTTATACTATACGCAACCGGCCATTTTGAGAATTGGTGGCCATGGTGAAATCCAAGTCTTCCTCTTTCACATCATCAAACTCATCACGCCCACTGTTCAGTCTACCGGAGGGTTGGGGTGTTGAAGAAATCCCTCGCTCCTATGGCTCCAAATTTGACAAGGTTAAAATTCATTATATTTTCTGTATCATTGTTTAATTTTGTTCTTCTCATCTCCCTCTTCAATTCCATATATACCTGGAAAAATGTTGAATTGGGACTATAATTTTACAGTTAGTTTCAATTATGTAATGAGTAAATGTTGATGCAGTATTACTTAGAGCCGGAGACTGGAAAAAGGTTCAGATCATTGAGAGAAGTGGAGAGGCACCTCAACGGAGAAACAGTTACTAGCAAACAACAAAAATCCCCTCAACTCATTGCATCCAATTCTCTAGAGGTTATTTTGAACTGATGCAAATTGACTAGACTTATTAAGTAGTTTGGTTGACCTGAATGACTAGAGTTTGTCAGAAACCTTATGATTATAAGGTTATTTTGAACTGATGCAAATTGATTAGGCTTATTAAGTAGTTTGGTTGATATGAATGACCAGAGTTTGTTTTGTCAGTAACCTTATGACTATAAAGTTATTTTGAACTGATGCAAATTGACTAGGCTTATTAAGTAGTTTGGTTGATCTGAATGACTAGAGTTTGTCGGTAACCTTATGACTATAAAGTTATTTTGAACTGATGCAAATTGACTATGCTTATTAAGTAGTTTGGTTGACCTGAATGACTAGAGTTTGTCAGTAACTTATGACTATAAGGTTATTTTGAACTGATGCAAATTGACTAGGCTTATTAAGTAGTTTGGTTGTCCCTGAATGACTAGAGTTTGTCAGTAACCTTATGACTATATAAAACCTGTATTGATGAGATCAAGATATAAAACCTTGATGGGATACAAGATAATCGTACTTTGCAGATAATAGAAGAGTGGTTTGAGAGGCCTCCATCGAAAGTGAATTGGGCTCTTGCTAGTGCTAAAGGGGATGCTTGGAATCCTATGGTCGGTGATACATTGATCTCGGATGCCGTGAAACAACAATGGAGGAAGAGATTTGTGTCGGCCATGAACGACAATGAGAGCTCTGCTGCAGTTATCCCAACAGAGCCGCCACCGCAATTAACGGAACCGTCGCCGCAAATACCGGAAAACATTCAACAAACTCAATCAGGTGAAGACGGAAGGCAAGACGAAGGAGGACTAAGGCGTTCTTCTCGCACCAAGAAACTAGCATATCATCACCAGGATTTCATCTATCTTTAAATAAGATTTTTGTTTTTTGTTTTTTCTTTCATATTGTTTAGTGGTTGATTGTAGATGATTATCATGTTAATTCAGGTCATTTTCAGAGATGAAATGTATGATGATGGTTCCGTGATATATATATATATATGTAGAAAGAATTCAAGATTGTTCTCATGAAAAAGTCCGAACTCCAATAGTTTCACTACGATGAAAAAATATGTATGGGCAGATACTAACAAATGAATAAAACCCAATAGGGTAGCCTAAGTGGCAAATGAGCCCTCTTTGTGGGGGAGAATTCCGGAATAATCCGAGTTTGACTCCCACAAATGACGATCCCCTTTAGGCCAGCTGACGATCCCCTTTGGGCCAGCTTCTATGCCTCTCAGAGCGAGAAAGATCCGGACCACAATGTGTGGTTGACACCAAAAAATTTCATAATAAATGAATAATATTTTCCTATTTAAGTAAACTATTCATTTTTTCACGTTAAACTTACCAATGAACATATAGAAATGTATGATCTTCGTTAACGTATGCACTTTTGGTGAACGTGCATTTGGATAGACGTTTGGGGCACACTTATTTGATAACAGTTAGATGTTAAGTAATGACAAATTTAGAAAATATTTGTTTCCTACCTTCACATACTTGTATAAAAATGGCTATTAATTGACTCATCTAGGCTCTTAAATATACCTTCTCAATTCATTACTAATCCAGAGCAAGTGAGTGTCACGATCTTTCGTCCTCCACCCTGATCTGTTTCCCAATACAAAGCCAAATGCAAACATGGTCCTGCTTAGCTTCCCCTTTGCCAAAATCTTAATGTGGTTCAAACCATAAAGTCCAAAATTTCCCCTTTATGTCTTTCCATAGCCAAAGATTTTTTTAGAGCAAACCCATCTGTTGGGTTTTTGTAGAGAGATTTAAATGCCAAATAGGATATAAAGAAGGCAGGAGTAAAGGGAGGAAAAAAACACAACAGAAAAATACAAAAATTTTAAAAAGTGCTCTCCAAGCATCAAGTTGGTGCGTGCCAACTGGGTGAGAGAGGTGTGCTAAACGCACACACAAAGCATTACTTTTTTTTTTTCTTTTCTTGTGGGTCCAAAAAGACAACCATTTTTCTGCAACATACTCTTCCTTCGCTCTCTTGTCTTCTCTCCCCTGCATCCACATAATTGTAAAAATTCCAAATTAAAAAAAAAAAAAAAAAAAAAAAAACAGTTGGAGATGGCTTTAGGACCAAACGTTGAGATTATTACAATGAATCCTGAAATCTCTAACATGGATCATTCCTTAGATGTAGGTGTGGAATTCAACTCGATCAAGTACGACATTCACTTTCCTCTGCACCCTTTCATCTCTGAATTTTTGAATGCCCATAAATATCTAATAATTAGTACAAATTTCTGGTAATTTTTTTGAATGTTTGTAAAAAATATGATATTTCACACTCTTATGGCCCGTTTGGTTCGTGGAATAGGCCGGGAATGGCATAGCATTCCCAGTAATAGGCCTATTCCTTTGTTTGATAACCATTTCTATTACCAGGAATAATATTCCTGGTAATAGCCTATTACCTCAAATAAGGTAATAGCTATTACTAGGGCCCCTGGTATTAGCCTATTACTGAACGCTTAGGAATAGATTTTAGAATCTATTTTCTTTTTTACCCCTTTCTTTAATCTAATTTTTTTATCATATATATAAATTTATCCTATTTCACCACCGTTGTCGCCACCACCATCACCGCCGCCGCCACCACCACCGCCACCATCGCCACAACCGTCGCGCCCCCCACCACCACCGCCGCCACCACCACCACCACCAAGGCCACAACCGTCGCCGCCCCCACCACCACTGCCACAACCGTCACCGTCACCACCACCACTGTCGCCCCCACCACTGCCACTGCCACCACCACCACTACCACCCCAGCACCACCACCACCACCGCCACCACCACTATCACTACCACCGCCACCACCACCACCACCACCATTACATATTTTTATAAGGGTATTTATGTCTTTTAAAACATATTTCATTTCTATTCCTTAAATTAACCAAACACTGTAATATAATTCCTAAAGTCTATTCCTTCCGCGAACCAAACAATAGAATACAATTCCTATTCTATTCCTTGCCTATTCCATTCCTTATGGAATAGCATTCCTATTACCTCAAAATTCATTCCGTGAACCAAACGTGCTGTTAGTTTCTCTTTCATTATTGAATATTATTATTTTTTGAATGTTTGTGTGCATTTGGCACACTTATTTGAAAAAATTAGACCTTTAAACAGTTAGATGTTAAGTAATGAAAAATTCAAGAAATATTTCTTCCCTACCCTCACATACTTGTATTAAAATGGCTATTATTTGACTTGTCTAGGCCCTCAATTTTTGGCTAATTCATAGCAAGTGTCGCATGTTTCCTCCTCCACCCCATCTGTTTCTCGATACAAAGCCAAGCGCAAACGTGGTCCTGCTTTCCCTTCGCCAAAACCTTAATGTGGCTCAAACTATAAAGCCCAAAATTTCACCTTTATATCTTTCCATAGCCAAAGATCTTTAGAGCAAACCCATGCCATCTGTTGGGAATTTATATAGAGATTTTAAATGCCAAATAGAATATAGAGAAGGCGGGTGATGGTTTTTGGATTTTCGGGCCCAAGGAGGTCCAACACAACCTTTAGCTGGAGGATACACCTTTCAATAAAAAGCTTGCTAAGATAATATGAGCTCGATGATTTTGACGTGGAAACCGAAAGGAAAACCACGGGCCTTTTTGGGCGGTGCCAAGCCTAACTCCACTATGTATTTTGTAGGTGTCTTTGTACATACTTGTAGGGCTATTCTCTACACAAAGTGTTGTGTTTCTAATAATATAGCAATAATAATAGAAAGAAGAGTGATGGAATGGTGTGGAAGAGTCCTTCCATGTGTATGGATGAGAGGTGGAGCCTTCTTGGTATATTGTGGAATGAGGCCTTCTTGGGAGAGTAGTTGTGGGAGAGTGATAGTAGTCTTCAAGTGTGTAGAAAAAGTGCTTGGGAGAGTCCTCCCATGTGTGTATGAGTTAGTGACCTCTTTCTTCTTGTCTTCCCCTCCTTTTTATAGCTAACCCATCCCAAAAGTGTCCGTTGGACATTTAGTAGGGTAGTGATGGGTGATAATTAGGGGGTTATGGATAATAATAATAATGGGGTAATAAGATGGGGTAATAAGTGGGAGGTTAGGAATGGTGGGGTAGTAAATAGGACTTTAAGGGTAGATAATTAGGAATTTAATAGGGGCTAACGGCTAGTTTTAGGCCGACCCTCTACCCGTGCCGATCCCACACTCACGCCGACTCCCGGGTCGAGCCGACTCCTTGGCTTGGCCCGTATCTCTTTTGGGCTTACTCCATTTTCCTCTTGGGCTTTGCTTCTTCTTCTTGGGCTTGATCTCTTTTCTTCTTGAGCCCCGAGCCCATGGGGTTCACACCCCATCAGCGGGAGTAAAGGGAGGAAAAAAAACAAAAGAAAAATGCAAAAATTTTTAAAACAGCTATCCATACGCCGAGTTGGTGTGTGCAGTACATGTGCCAACTGGGTGCAAGAAGTGTGCTACACACACAAAGCATTTTTTTTTTCTTGTGGGTCCCACAAAAAAAAATATTTTTTTGCAACATACTCTCGCTTCCCTCTCCCTCCACATAATTGTAAAATTCAAAGCCGCCAAACGTAAGCGTGGCCCGACCTTCCCTTCGCCAAAACCAAGCTACTATAGCCTAGACCCAAATGTGGCTCAAACTATAAAGCCCAAAATTTTGCATTTATACCTTTCCAAAGCCAAATAACTTTTAGGGCCAAATGTTGAGATTATCGTCGTTTGCCCTGAAATCTCGATCGTCGATCATTGCTCTGTCGAAGCCAATTCCTTAGAAGTAGGCGTGCACTACAACTCGATCAAGTGCGGCTTTCCTCCGCACCGGTTCATTTCAAAATTTTTGAATACCCACAAAATTATACCTGCTCAATTAACACCCAATGGGTACAAATTTCTAGTCGTTTTTCTAAATGTTTGTAAGGAATGTGATATTCCTCCCTCTCAGTCTCTCTTTCATTACTTGTTCAATGTTGAATTTGGCACACTGGCTGAAAACCAGAGCTTTGTAACCATCTCCTCTCGTTGTGGTCTTAAATTTGTGACGGACCTTCCCTCCTCCCATAGCGGTTGGAAAGAAAGGTTTTTCAAAGTCCGATTCCCAGCGTCTCAAATATGTTTCGTTAATGTCTGGGCCACCCGGGTTATACATTTCCCCATGCTGGAAGACACGCATGAACTCTTGTCCATGCAAAGAAAATAGCCAGTGTTCCTCGCTCCTGTAATTACTATGCCAGTAAGGAGAAAATTGAGATCCTATATGAGCTTAAAGAAGCTGAAGTTGAAGCTGCACCACTAGAAATAGTACCCATACCAGCTGATGATGATCTTATTGAGCCCAAACCCGAGGTTGAGGAGATTGGAATTGGGGTTGTGAATGAATCTACTAAAGAGATGGCTGAGAAGATCAAAGCTTTGGAGGCCCAAATATTTTTTGCTCGACAAACTGGGATTGATGACTTCATGAAGTCCCAAGAATTCTAGCAATCTGCACTGGAGTACATCCATAGCAATCTAGAGGCGTTCTTGGCTTGGGAACTTGCTGACAAGTCCCGGCATAAGGCTTTTTTCAGAATTATGTGGATGATAATCCTGCTTGGATATAGAAGAAGCTCCGGGAAGAAGCAGCCTAGCTATTACAAATATTGCCATTAGTGTTAATTAGCTTATTGTATTGTCTGTAGCAACTCATGGCGTTATGTAATTGTGGCGAGCTTTAATTTAATCATTTTGGACATAACCTTATATTATGCATGGGAGCTCATTTAAGTTATTATTTGCTTTAATTTAATTTGTTTGTGTTCTTTTCTTTTCTTATTTTGGGTTGCTTACTTACTAATCACTAGATAATTTAATTGTAACACACTCTTTAATCGTGCAATCCACGTGTCGATTCTTGAAGAATTTTTATAGATGTGGTTATGAAAGAGAAAATGGGAGAGGGAGGTAAAAACAAAAAAAAATAATAAAAAAAAAACAAAA